GGAGGTAAACTGAACCCTATTGGCCAAAATCTGAACCGGAAAATCGTGCAAGCTTTCACTCGCAAGAAAAAGGGCTTCGGTTCGAGACGTGGCTAGAAAAGTAACGTCCAGTGGGCCAAGACAAGAATGGGTCTAAAGACGTTTAAGAAGCAGAAGAAGCCAAAGCGAAGGTAAAAACAAGCCACATCAGTCAAACCGAGAGCACGGAAGCAGAGTGGCCAGATTGTTTTTTTTTTTTTCATTATCGGTAGCTTCGCAAAACTTCTAACGGTAGTTATCGGTAGCCGTCTGAAGAAGGACCTTTATGAGCGGAGGGGGTAACTGTCCTTCAGTTCTTCTGTTTTAAACGAGTCGAAATCAATATGAATATTTTTCAAGATTACTAAAAATCTGTGATTTTCGGTAGGAAAAGTGAAAAATCGGTAGTTTTTAACCTTTTTTCTGTGAATCGGTAGGCATATCGAAAATCGATAGGACCACCGATAAATCGGTAGGTTTGGCCACCCTGCTCGGAAGTTACAGAGCTTTTTGACGTTTAATCGGCGCACACTACTACACCATTTAAATCGAACGAGTACGAGCAATAACGGCGCCGGTGGTGTAGTGGTAAGCGTGAGGTCTGGGTTCAATCCCAGTCGGCGCCGCCGGGATGTTCTGAGGCATAACATCTCTGATCAAGCCTTCCTTCGGATGGGAAGTAAAGCCGTTGGTCCCCGGTTCATGAGTTGATGGGTCGATAGGTAGGGTCCAGGTGTGGGAGCTGCCTCCCTCGGTAGCATTGGTGCTCAGCACGGAAAACAAGATCGACGGAAAAAACAAACCAAAGGAAAAAAAAAAGAGTACGAGCAAGAGGGAAACAGATTAGTGGGAAAACAAACCGTTCATTCATCCATGTATGCTAGATAGAGAAAGACTATTAAACGTCGAAAAGGTTTATACGACCAGTTGCTGTGCGGAAAAAAAATCGGTAAAAATGCTATGGGCAAGTCATTTGTGAGTGTGGTATGCTTTCCAACCCGTTTGTGACAACGGAGACAATGACAACCGATGTTTAAAAGCGTGAGTGTTCAAACAAGCGTCTGTTACCCATGATCCGCAAACACGACGCCTCAGTACTGTTTTGGCAGGATTTGGCGTCGGTTCATTACTCCAAGGACACGATAGCCTGGTATAAAGCCAACAAGGTCCAATTCGTACCCAAGGAGATGAATTCATCAAACTGTCCCCAGGCCAGGCCAATCGAAACTTTTTGGGTCCTGACCAAAGCATATTTGCGGACACATGTAAAGGCAGCGGATTCCGTTACAAAGTTTGTGAAAAACTGGGAAAAAGTATCCAAAATTGTTGGACTGAAGCTACGTTTAACTGTAAGAGAATACTATAGAGAACATGAAAACGGAATAAAAATCGTATTTGCTGTAAACAAAGTTACGTTATCGTTTTTTTTTTCAAATCGTGCTTAGACATTCAGCATCACTTAATATTACTAACAACACGTTGATAGTTGAGCTTTTTTTGTAATCTCTTACAGGTCCAAGTTGTGCTTCAAATACATACACCAAAAGTTGTATGACTACAATGCGTGTACATTCAAATATGTATCAGATTAGTACAAACATATCATTTATCGCTACTAACATATTAAAAACGTGTAATACTCAATAAATGAAAGAATTCCTAGGGCCCATTAAAATGTTAGGTAATGCAAAAGATTGCTTTTAAATACTATCCCCCCCACCAAACCTACTTTTCTTATACTTAAAGGGTTGTAACACTTTGCAATACAACTTCACCAACAAGCACTTGACATACTTTCCTAAACAAATTCCACATGTACGGCCAATGATTACGACTCAAAATTGAGTAAGAGTTACTCATATTTGAGTTCAGTTATTTTTTATTTTTTTATTGGGGAGTAAAGACAAACCACTCCATGCATTATTTGAACTTTTGTGGTACCCCTATTTGCTGTTTGTATCATGCAAATCGACCACTATTTAACAAGAAGACAGCTAATTGCCTGGACACATCTTTTCCCAGTCCGGTATAATATGGCTTATAAAACCAACTACATTTCCATGATTTGCAGACTAAATATCACTAGGTTGTAAGCTAATACTTCCAAGAAATTTGGTTCTGCGCTTGTTTAATGCACCACAACTGCAGAACAGATGTTCCGAGGTTTCACGTTCCAAATTACAGAAACGAACCCAACCAATGTTCTTAATGTGATATCTACTAGGACTGTGCCCAGTTACTAGGCCAGTGTATATACTAAGAGCTCTGTTATTGAGCTCTAAGAGCTTTTTGGTGTATGTTATATTAGGAGTTCTAAATCTTTTCGACTGGTTGCAGTTTGTGCATGTGCAATTGGCCATAACCCTTTGCTCTTCCCAGCATTTGAGTTCCATTTTTACCGTACAGTATGATATTCCACAGTATGGTTCGCTTGAAACACCTTTGGAAAATGTCCCATCGCAACTGAAATATTTGTCCCGGGGCCAAAGATTCTTGCATGTGTTCGTATTCCAATTTTTGAGCCATCTGTGAAAAATATGATTGAGCCTTGACAAACGTTAGGACCACCAGTTTCCCAATCCGAACGTGCCGTTTCACATACGTTGAAGGGAATTTCATAGTTGCCCTCTGGTTTCATCCAGTCTCCATTCATACTTATCACTGGTCCTGTTTGGAAGTATTGTAAGATGCTTAGATGACCTACAAGATCAAGTGGTATTACTTTTTTAGATCTTTTGAGCCTTAGAGCCCTTCTTTCCACTTATAGTTGCACATGTTCATGCAAGGGCAGCAGATTGAGGATTGCTTCTAATGCTTTTGATGGGGTGCTACGCACCGCACCCGTTATTGCAATTGCATGTTAGACGTTGAAGTTTTGCTAGTTTCCTCTGTGCAGTAGCCTCTGTTGATTTTGGCCACCACAATAACGAAGCATGAGAGTTCAGGTTACTCAAATTCACGAAATCTTAGGTCACTCATAGATTGAGTAAATTTTCCGACGCTTTTCCGAGGAAAACTTCTCGAATATGAGGAAAACTGATTATGGTTTCAATCTGTCTTCTAGTACACTTCAAACCTGTGTACAATTTTCTTAATTTTTCCCATATTCGAGAAGTTTTCCCCGGGAAAGTGTCGGAAAATTTACTCAAACTATGAGTGTTGCTTATGCAACTAATAGAGAAGTCAGCTCCGAAATTTTAAACGTATTTATTATGTGTTGCGTTAAAGTTTCCTAAAAAAATATGCGTTTTAGAATACAATGTTTACTATGATCTTATAACTTACGTTTTGTAATCTTCTTTCATTGTTTAACCCGGAATGGGATCTATGCAACGCTAGGCTTAGGGAATTCTGAATACAATTAATCAAATTTAGGAAATATTCAAATTAAACTTTTAGTTAACAAATTTACCGGTTTGTGCAGAATAACTTTAGTTTTCTTTTCTGTCTAGAGGCGGCTCAAGGCAGAGTGCAAATCAATTTAACCTATAAAAATTTCTAGGATAATAAATTTCATTTTAATTAGCACTTCAATAAACAAAACTGTTATTTGTTCAACTCACTGCATGTGTAGAATAATAAATTTAGGTTTAAATGCAAACAAATTTAGGTTTAAATGTAAATATATACGCGAAAATTAGGCAAATAAATTTAGATAATCTTTTTCGACATCGTGTCACACCAATTCAGCTTTGTTATAAGCACTCTTTGTTCTTCTCCATGATCTCGTTTTGTCAGCTTTCGCTTGTTCAGTTGGTACCGAAGTGTTGATTTGGAGGTAGGCTCACAGACGAGGGGCGTTCGCAACAATGAGTGACCTACGTTTTAGCGATTTTCAGTAATCTGAAATCAAATATGGGTAGCATTTTTTGTCCATGTGCGATTGGATTGGAAAGTTTTTTTTTCTAAATCAGTTGGAATAAAGTCACGCCGACCCACGCCGCCACGCCGCCGCCGCCGAAAGCAAACGGCGTGACGCCGCCACGCCGCCGCCGCCGGCAGAAAATAACATATCACGCCGCCGCCGAAAATATTTTGATCGGCGCACAGGTCTACCATTGAGTAGTTGTTGAAAACGATGGAAATTAAATACATTTTTTTTTTAATTAAATACATCGTCAATAAACATTTTAAAAGTAAAACGCCTCAAGGTTGACACAGAAAAAACACTTGAGATTAGTGATTTTATCCAGAAAAAAATCCTTACAATCGCAGGGGAAGGGAGCATAGGCGTAGCCAGATGGGGGGTCAGTTCCCCCTAAACTCAGCAACACAAAGGCTTTCGGTGAAATTGCGTTAGGTGAAATGGCATTCTCCCTAGCTTGAAACCTGGCTACGCCCTTCGGAGGGAGGGAAGTTATAATCCAACATCTACTTAAAAAGTTATAGGGAACCCATACTACCTTCATAGATGTCACAGGAAGGGAAGAGTTGTTTTAGTGTGAGGGTGAATTATTAGGAAACTCTATTCGTCAATATAAAGAATATGATAAATCAGAAATATAAATGGAATATAAATAGATATATTGAAATGATCTTACCTGAATGGCCTAGTGACTTTGCAGCGTCATGTTTTCGGAAATGCTTTATTTAATTTTCTTTGAACCACCGCAATCACTGATAGCACTCTTCTTGCTCTGGCAAATCAGTTACAGCTGCATAGTTTAATTTTATTTTAGGTCTTTCGTTACGTATTACCATAAAAGTTATTAAGATTGTTATGCTATTGAGATTGTTTAATGGTTTAATAATATTTGAAGTACTTTGTTAATTATTACCAAACCCCATTGTTTAATGGACTATTTCGACAAAATCTCGAGTCTTCAAACCCCAAAAAAAAAACATTAAATAAAAATCATACCATTAACACACCGACACCGCCATCGGAAAAACACAAACGAACCCAAATGAAATCGAAATTGATCGTTTCCACTAATTCGCACCTTTCGTTTTCTTCTTCCTCTCCCATTCGTAACTTTCAGGTCTATTCATGCGTCCGGACGAGGCCAATCTCTACACCACCCTGGAGCAAACGATGAGCAGCAATCCGAACGTGTACTTCCAACGGGGCGGCGGGGTCCATCCGGGAATGATGTACTAGTATCAGAAGCAGAAGACGATGGTTCCTACAATACAAAACGAAAAAAAAGAAGAAGAATAAGAAGAAACCCCTACTCGAAAGAACACCGCTACTCTACTGTAGTAGTGATTTCCAGGTTCGGTTTCGGACAAAGAACCACCGAACCACGAAAGATAGTATTTTGGAGCGACCGTGCCGCGCCACTGACCGCCCCCAAAACCACCGCCACACACCTGTTTGGATTTAGCAAATAACATTACCAACTGCAGTAGTAAGGCAGCGACGAAGGCAGACGAAACAAGTGATTTTAGTTCAATAAGATTGGTTTGTAAGGAGACCCGGAGCTTCCGATCCGACACACTTGGTAGTAGGACCGAATGTTCCGCCCCCCAGTAAATAAGAGTAGTACGCAACCAGTAGACGATTCCCCTCCTCTAGGACCTGCTACTATCACTTCATTAGAATCTAGTAAGTATTATGCTTTGAAATAGCCCCGTTTCCATTTATTAAAACTTGTACTGATTTCAGAGCAACCCCGAGAAAATGTGATCTCTCAGCAGACGATAATGCAGAAAACGGAGACGATGAGACCTAAAACGAGGCAAACTTTCAAATATACATATGCTGAGTTAGGTAATGCAGCCTAATCTCGAAAACTGGAAAACTATTCACCCGGCAAACCCTTCAGGGCCAGATTGCATAATTTTGAGCAACTACTTTTTATTTTCACCGCATCGCAGCAGAAAGAAGAAAGCTAAAGCGAAAGTGAGTGCGAAAGAGAGAGAGAGATAAAGCAAGCCAATAGCAAATCAAACACTCGTTCATCAATCAGCAATCAATAGGAAATAGGTTAATTAGAATCATACATCGGACTACAAACCCCAACATTGGGCAACTTAGTTACGAAGCAATCCTTCCCCCCCCCCATTTCACCCCTGCTAGTTAGTATTGAAACAGATAGGCAAATCAGTGTTCATTATTTCGCCCACTCCCAGTAGACGTATCACGACTTGTTTATACAACTACAGCAACTGAAACAGTGACCGAAAATGCTACTCTTATTCCGTTTAGTTCTAGTGAATTAGGTTATGTTCGAATAATTGACACAAACAAACAAAAGTCTCTCTGTGAATGAATTTATCGAATTTGCTTGTACTGGAAGTGCACCGCCGATTGGTTTCTGCGGATTCGAGCGGGCACATTTCTTCATCCCTGCATCTGTTTGTGCTGAATTAATTAAAACAAAATAAAACATAAAACAATTCTTTTGACAGTGGAGACATCGCAATCGAAATAGGTTAATTTGTATTCATTAGTGATATGGATGAGAGAAGAAATATGTGGAAAAACACGACACAAGAGTGAATTTCTTTTATGTAAATACTAGTGCTAAATGTTTAGAAGAACAATAAAATCAAAAATACTTTTTAAGGTTGAGAAATGAACGAAGCGGCGGGGTTTTGAACTGCAGGTAGAAATGAAAGATATGTGGCATCCCTGGTAAAATTGGTATGGTTAGTTTGCTTAACTACACTCGCTTCGTTGTCGTGCGCAACAGTCTCATGCTCTACCGTCGTCTTTCTTACACAACACAAACGGTAGAATAACATTCGAGCTAAAAGAAAAAGATCAAATAGCTATCATATGACATGTGTGATTTTGTTGTTATTCTTCAATTTTGTGTAAATTAAACCATTTCTGATCAGAAATATTATTAAAGGACATCATTGCTTGCTATTTTCAGAATGCACACAAGCACAACATCAGCAGCTCTTATTATGAGAAAAACTAAAATACATACCTTCGTGACGGTCTTCGTGCCAATTCAATTCTCTTCAGTGCCTGAGTAAAATTTGATTGCTCTTTCGTTTTCTCTCACGGAAATCATGCTCCGTTGTGGTTCAAAAGGGAACTTACTCAGTCACTGAGTAAGTTCCCTTTTGAACTGCAACGGAGTAAAATTTCCGTGAGAACAAAAGAGAGGGCAATCAAATTTTACTCAGGCACTGAAGAGAATTGAATTGGCGTGTACGTTATTGCAGCCAGGATTGTTGCCATTAATTTGCTATAAAACAATATTTTTGGGAACTATGAAACCATCGAACCGGTACACATACACGCTCCTTCAATTTTCCTCTAAAGTGAGTAAAAATCTACACAACATCTTTAAAAGTTTTTAAATTGGCTCACTACTTGACAAGCCTATTGGTCCCAAGCAAATCGATTAACGTATCCCATTCTTGTCAAAATTCTAGTACTACACAATGTTTGTTTTGATTCGCTATGAAAGTTTGACAGATAAAATGAGGGGTTATTGGATATTCCTATGTTTCGAGGGGTGAATCGATAAGCTTCGGACCGAAGATAGTACCAGAGCTAAGCCAAAAAGTTGAGCTCGTTTCTTCGGGACCTTCTGGTCCCGGTGATAATATCATCGACAAACCGACATGAAACTTAAACTTAACTCCTGATCGAGAATCCATAACGGCCGATGCAAATGTGCAGCGATCCAATCTGTCAAAACCATAGAATTGTTTTATCTAGATATAAATAATTTGTCCGAAATAGATTAGACACGAACCAACTCATAAATTTTGTACGCGTTATTGTAATTTGTTTGTTATTTGTATGATCATTCATGTCGGTTTGTCGGTGGTAATATTGCCTATTTACAGATGCAATATTTCTTCGTCTCTTCGATCTTGTTGGTTTGCATTGGATTCATTACGGAAATTATGTTAATTGAATGTAATTTAATGCAAACAATTCGAAGATTTGATGATTACGTTGAATAGGTGTAAAAGTATCATTTTGTCTGTGGTATGTTGAAGTATTGTTAACTGTGCTTTTAGTGAGTCAACTTATGATTACATCACGAAATATTCAGTTGATGCATATTGACGATTATCTTCGTTAGTAAATAGCTGGGTACTGCGGAGTCAACCAATTTTATTTTGCATGCCAATGGAAAACTGCTTGAAAATTTTCTCAAGGTAAAAACTGGTTTGCTCTTTCTCAGTTGATTCCCGCCAAAAGCTCTGAGCCAGGAGTGCTCGAGCCCCCATGACTCTATCAAAGTTTGTTTACATACATGTTTCGCCAAAGTATGTTTTACTGTAATTGAAAACTCAGCTGCCTCATAAAAACTATGCTGGTTTTTATACTTTCATCACTGAGCCTGTTGGTTTTTATCTTTGAGATTAAAACTAAGAATGTGTTATGAAAAAGTACAGATCATTTTTATGAGATAACAGTGCGTGGCGGTAGATTAGAACAGTAACTGCATTTGCTGCTTCTGAATGTTTGGCTCCCACTTGACAGTTCACACTGGCTCCCAAGTGACAAGCACCTTCAGTGAGTCCGCAGTACTCAGGTAAATAGTGCTTAGCTTTGATACATCTAGCTGGGAGTCCCACCCTGGGACCTTAGCCATAGTTGTCGAAAAAAGTTTGTTTTGATTGTGTGTAGTTCCTTCTTTCCCTTTTAGATCAACAAGGATCAACCTTACCACGTTTATGCTTACTATTAAAAATTTAACAGGTGCATTCGAGCTTTTGCCATGATTTTGAAATGTAATTACTGAATCCCCCTAATTTTCAATTAATGTTGTACTAAGTACCTACTTATTGGAAACAAACGGTTGATTTGAGAAAATCCCCAGTATTCTATAGATAGGAGAGGAAGGAGCATAATGTACCCCGCATGCTCAGTTGAGCACCCTTTTCCTCAAAAAAAAAAAAAAACATACATCATCAACTATAAGTATAAGAGAGGAGCGGATTCAAAACAATCTAACTTGGCAACCTATGCCTACCCGCATAAGCGAGAACCATAAATTGACCTTACCTAAAATGGTTATAAATTGTTTATAATCCCTGCTAAACTTCAACTGAAATGGTTATGGAACTTTACATGAACGTTTAATGATAAAGTTTTAACCTTAAGTATTATAGTTTTTTGGAAGTGGACCTTACAAATAATGGGTTGTTAAGAACCATTACCATTCAAAATTCTTGTTTTCTCCATACATTTTCGCAAAGAAAACTATACTAAAACCTTTTAACTTATGGTTTGAGAACATTAATGGTAATGGTTATGGTAAGCAGTAAGGTCCATGAATGGTTTTGTAACATCGATCAACTTTATGTGGAATATATCGCGAATTGGTTGCCTGCAAATTACTGATTACCAATTCACGATATATTTCACGTAAAGTTGAGCGATAATACAAAACCATTAATGGACCTTACTGACTACCATAACCATAACCATTAATGTTCTCAAACCATAAGTAAAAACGTTCTAATATAGTTCTCTTTCCGATAATGTATGGAGAAAACAAGAATTTGGAATGGTAATGGTTCTTAACAACCCATTATTTGTAAGGTCCGCTTCCAAAAAACCATAATACATAAGGTTAAAACTTTATCACACAAACGTTCATGTAAAGTTCCATAACCATTTCAGTTGAAGTTTAGCAGGGATTATAAACAATTTATAACCATTATCGGTAAGGTCATGTGATGGTTCGCGTTTATGCGGGTAGGCGATTTCTAGCAACACTACCAATGCTCCAAAATCAGTCCGCTCCTCTCTAATCATCAACTAACGACAACCAGCGGCGCCGATGTTGTAGCGCTAAACATGACTGCCTCTCAGTGACTGAGTAAGTTCCCTTTTGAACCACAACGGAGCATGATTTCCGTGAGAGAAAACGAAAGAGCAATAAAATTCTACTAAGACACTGAGGGGACTTGATTTAGAGTGCATAATGAATGTAGCGAGGACAAGATCCAAGGCAAATAGCACTTATAGCAAACCCAGTGAAAATGAGCATGCACCGCATTTTATGGCTTCACGACCAGGGACGCCAGATTTGAAGACATGAAAATATCTGAAGACATTTTTTGCTTGCAGAAATTTTGAAGACATTTTTTTTTTCCTTAGTTCGGGAGCTAACACCACTGCGACCAATAATTTGATCTATTGATATACTGTTCTTAGTTTAGTGCATGTCGTATTACTCCATCACTATTGAGAAATGATGAAGTATTCGATTTTTA